ACCTGGTCACTGGACCACCTGGTCACAGCACCACCTGGTCACAGGACCACCTGGTCACAGGACCACCGGGTCACTAGACCACCTGGTCACAGCACCACCTGGTCACTGGACCACCTGGTCACAGCACCACCTGGTCACTGAACCACCTGGTCACAGCACCACCTGGTCACTGGACCACCTGGTCACAGGAACACCCGGTCACTGGACCACCCGGTCACTGGACCACTCGGTCACTGGACCACCCGGTCACTGGACCACCCGGTCACTGGACCACTCGGTCACTGGACCACCTGGTCACTGGACCACCCGGTCACAGCACCACCCGGTCACAGCACCACCCGGTCACTGGACCACCTGGTCACAGCACCACCTGGTCACAGCACCACCTGGTCACTGGACCACCTGGTCACAGCACCACCCGGTCACTGCACCACCCGGTCACTGGACCACCTGGCCACTGGACCACCTGGTCACAGGACCACCCGGTCACTGGACCACCTGGCCACTGGACCACCTGGCCACTGGACCACCTGGTCACTGGACCACCTGGCCACTGGACCACCTGGCTACTGGACCACCTGGTCACAGCACCACCTGGCCACTGGACCACCTGGCCACTGGACCACCTGGTCACTGGACCACCTGGTCACAGCACCACCTGGTCACTGGACCACCTGGCCACTGGACCACCTGGTCACTGGACCACCTGGTCACAGCACCACCTGGTCACAGGACCACCTGGTCACAGGACCACCTGGTCACAGGACCACCTGGTCACAGCACCACCTGGTCACAGCACCTCCTGGTCACAGGACCACCTGGTCACAGCACCACCTGGTCACAGGACCACCTGGCCACTGGACCACCTGGTCACTGGACCACCTGGTCACTGGACCACCTGGCCACTGGACCACCTGGTCACTGGACCACCTGGTCACAGCACCACCTGGTCACAGCACCACCTGGTCACAGGACCACCTGGTCACAGGACCACCTGGTCACAGCACCACCTGGTCACAGCACCTCCTGGTCACAGGACCACCTGGTCACAGCACCACCTGGTCACAGCACCACCTGGTCACAGCACCACCTGGTCACTGGACCAACTGGTCACAGCACCACCTGGACACAGCACCACCTGGTCACAGCACCACCTGGTCACTGGACCACCTGGTCACAGCACCACCTGGTCACTGGACCACCTGGTCACTAGACCACCTGGTCACTGGACCACCTGGTCACTAGACCACCTGGTCACTGGACCACCTGGTCACAGCACCACCTGGTCACAGCACCACCTGGTCACAGCACCACCTGGTCACAGCACCACCTGGTCACTGGACCACCTGGTCACAGCACCACCTGGACACTGTACCACCTGGTCACAGCACCACCTGGACACTGCACCACCTGGTCACAGCACCACCTGGACACTGTACCACCTGGTCACAGCACCACCTGGACACTGTACCACCTGGTCACAGCACCACCTGGACACTGCACCACCTGGTCACAGCACCACCTGGACACTGTACCACCTGGTCACAGCACCACCTGGACACTGTACCACCTGGTCACAGCACCACCTGGTCACAGGAGGACAGTCAGCGTCCACAGCTGTGTCCTGCTAACAAATACTCCCGCTGTGAGCTGACTAACTCACACGTCAGTAGGTCATGTTCCCGGAGCCTCAACATCAGTACATAATGACAATACTGCTGGTGACTTAGCTCACCGGCTGAGTGGTCCGACCATTGGTTCTCGTGAGCTCATCGTTATATAATCACTGCTCCTGTTATGTTTGCTTCTCGCATTGTCTCGGTGCCTATTATGTTGTCTCTAAACCCCTTCACAACCTGGGCCAATCTCTTAGGCACGAAGAGCCCAGAGGGAAGTGTAAATGCAATTATGGATGGTGTTATTACACTAGATTATTACTAGGGGCGGCTGCGTCAACCACGTACAATCAGTACCTGGTTAGAGTAAGTCTCGGAGCCTCTATAATCTGTCTGTGGGGCTCCTTGTGCTGATTGTTTCAGGATATGGGTGTTGATGGGTGTCACAGTGATAAAAACTTAGGAACAAATGAACACTGCAGTAGCTTTAGGAGCCTATTTTAGGTAGGTCCTTTTTCCCTCGTCTATCTATTGTACACAATACATGTAGCTACTGTATTTTTCAAATTAATTTCTAATGTAAGTCTTACTTATTCTATCAGACAATTTATTCGACTCGTTAACAGCTCTATTGTCAATCAATATTTGCCTATATAGTTATTAAATTGGATTTTAAGAGGGTTATAGCCATTATTGCTAGCTGATGTTTGGTCAACATTCATTACAAGCTGAGACGAGTTGGACAATTCCATAACCCTTTAAAGTGCTCCAAACATCCACTTGTGAACTCTCAACTCTCAAGAGAATATAATCCTATAAATGTAAGTCTTGCAAACATAGCTTAATCCAAGTCTTGCAAACACAGCTTCGCAAGAGATATTCCTTACAAGGAATAAATTTTATCATCCCATCCAAGGCGTTTTCAATTGAATTTATGTCCATTTAGTAATATGGTAACGAGAGATGAACAGTATGATCCAAGTTACATTTTAGCAAAGCAAGATATAATGAAGGATAGTGTTTGGGTTTCAGTTGCAAACACTTTGATATCGTTTATGATCTATAATGTTTACTTGGAAAATTGGGAACAAACTCATTTCATTAAATATGTTCCATTATATTGTGGGCATGTTCCAATATGATAACATTATATCATTCCAAATGATGACTTTCATGTAATGAATGATCTGGATGATCAGTGATTTGCAGATATTTGCTGACACACTGAACTAATGTTCATAATGAACAAATGTTCATAGTGAACTATGATCACAAATATTTTCATATTTTCATATTTGTACAACTTGCCGGTTTGTACACAAGTATAAACTGTTTCCCTTATTTGATTGATGGTATAGGAAATTTATACCATCAATTATTACCATCAAATTTATGCCATTTATACACATCTAATAATATATTATAGAGTTTGACTGGAGGAAACAATAAAAGCGTCTGTAGCTAGACGAATTATTATTACAAATTGCCGCTATTTATAGTACAAAAAATCCTAGATTTATAGCTCTATAAAAATAAATTGCCAAGAACAAAGTTCTTTTAATTAAATGTTGATTTACCTGAGCGACACGAGTCAAATGTCAGCAACAGTTGAGATGTGATGAATATCTAATTTTGTTTTAATTTTGTTATTATGAAATCATACAACATTATCATGTTAATAAAATACGAGTCATTGCATAGTGTATACAAAGTTGTTTATATAAGGAGAGGTGTTATTGTTCACGGGTTTTGGAGCGGAATTTTTTGGCACTTGAATTCATATCTTGCAAAAAATCGTTAAATCTTAATACTTTATTTAAATTTTCATTTCATATCTATTAAGGTTTCACAAAAACACAGCGTCATAGGTACTTCACACGTCTATATTATTTCTATTTTGTGATAAAAGTATCAAATGTTTGTCATTTTTTGAGATTTTCAATTAATTTTGCCAAAACCGTAATAAATTACTTTAATTCAGATAGATAGGGATAAAGAAACAAACAAATCTTTATTAATCCTACTCATAGCCCAGCCGGTAGAGCTTCGGCCTCACACACACGTAGGGTCCAGGGTTCGAGTCTCCTAGAGCCCAGGTGAATGGCATAGCAACACACTTTAACAGGAAACCCACCTAAGGTTCCCCCATGAAACAAAACCCACCTAAGGTTCACCCATGACACAAAACCCACCTAAGGTTCCCCCATGACACAAAACCCACCTAAGGTTCCCCCATGACACAAAACCCACCTAAGGTTCCCCAATGACACAAAACCCACCTAAGGCTCCCCCATGACACAAAACCCACCTAAGGCTCCCCCATGGCACAAAACCCACCTAAGGTTCCCCCATGACACAAAACCCACCTAAGGTTCCCCATGACACAAAACCCACCTAAGGTTCCCCCATGACACAAAACCCACCTAAGGTTCCCCCATGACACAAAACCCACCTAAGGTTCCCCCATGACACAAAACCCACCTAAGGTTCCCCCATGACACAAAACCCACCTAAGGTTCCCCCATGACACAAAACCCACCTAAGGTTCCCCCATGACACAAAACCCACCTAAGGTTCCCCCATGACACAAAACCCACCTAAGGTTCCCCCATGACACAAAACCCACCTAAGGTTCCCCCATGACACAAAACCCACCTAAGGTTCCCCCATGACACAAAACCCACCTAAGGTTCCCCCATGACACAAAACCCACCTAAGGTTCCCCCATGACACAAAACCCACCTAAGGTTCCCCCATGACACAAAACCCACCTAAGGTTCCCCAATGACACAAAACCCACCTAAGGCTCCCCCATGGCACAAAACCCACCTAAGGTTCCCCCATGACACAAAACCCACCTAAGGTTCCCTCATGACACAAAACCCACCTAAGGTTCCCCCATGACACAAAACCCATCTAAGGTTCCCCCATGACACAAAACCCACCTAAGGTTCCCCCATGACACAAAACCCACCTAAGGTTCCCCATGACACAAAACCCACCTAAGGTTCCCCCATGACACAAAACCCACCTAAGGTTCCCCCATGACACAAAACCCACCTAAGGTTCCCCCATGACACACAACCCACCTAAGGTTCCCCCATGACACAAAACCCACCTAAGGTTCCCCCATGACACAAAACCCACCTAAGGTTCCCCCATGACACAAAACCCACCTAAGGTTCCTCCATGACACAAAACCCACCTAAGGTTCCCCCATGACACAAAACCCACCTAAGGTTCCCCCATGACACAAAACCCACCTAAGGTTCCCCCATGACACAAAACAACGAGAGAAAATATCCGTGGATAAAATAGTTGCCCAAGAGAGAGAGAAAGTACCCAAGATATCTGCACTAAAGTTCTGGGCACAACTCTCCTTACATCAGGACCTTGAGCGACGCTCCGCCTCTGAGACACGCAAGAAAATTTGTGAAGGCAAACTTTCCGCCTCTGACATGACTAGCAAGTTCTCCGATGCTCTTGATCTTGTTCTCTGACATTTGCTGAGGAGAAATGGCTTTAGCCGGATGGAACAGTGTATACAAATTCTTGCACATCTACATAAATCTTTGACGACTGGAGGTAATGGAATTAGGCTTCAAGGAACAGATCAGTCTGTGAAAAGCTGTGGTGAAAAGTTTAGGTCAGGAAGGTAACCCTTCATCCTTGTAGAGGCTTCAGGCCTTATAGGGACATTATATAATACTCGAATGAATTTATATAAAAAACTATATCCGTTCATTGCTATTCCTGATAACTCGGCATCAACAAGATGCTAAGATTAATATATCTCCCTGGGTACAGAGCTGGGTCCCAGCTCTGTACTTGTGGCAGGGTGGGGGGGGGGTGTCCCAGCTCTGTACTTGTGGCAGGGTGGGGGGGGGGGTGGGTGTCCCAGCTCCTCACTTGTGGTGGAAGGGGGGGGTCCCAGCTACTCATTTGTGGTGGCAGGGGGGGGTCCCAGCTACTCATTTGTGGTGGCAGGGGGGGGTCCCAGCTACTCATTTGAGGTGGCAGGGGGGGGGGTCCCACCTCCTCACTTGTGATGGCAGGGGGGGTCCCACCTCCTCACTTGTGGTGGCAGGGGGGTCCCACCTCCTCACTTGTGGTGGCAGGGGGTTCCACCTCCTCACTTGTGGTGGCAGGGGGGGACCCAGCTCCTCACTTGTGGTGGCAGGGGGGGACCCAGCTCCTCACTTGTGGTGGCAGGGGGGTCCCAGCTCCTCACTTGTGGTGGCAGGGGGGTCTCACCTCATCACTTGTGGTGGCAGGGGGGTCCCACCTCCTCACTTGTGGTGGCAGGGGGGGTCCCACCTCCTCACTTGTGGTGGCAGGGGGGGACCCAGCTCCTCACTTGTGGTGGCAGGGGGGTGTCTCAGCTCCTCACTTGTGGTGGCAGGGGGGGGGTCCCAGCTACTCATTTGTGGTGGCAGGGGGGGGGGGTCCCAGCTACTCATTTGTGGTGGTAGGGGGGGGGGTCCCAGCTACTCATTTGTGGTGGCCGGGGGGGTTCCCAGCTACTCATTTGTGGTGGCAGGGGGGGGGTCCCAGCTACTCATTTGTGGTGGCAGGGGGGGGTCCCAGCTACTCATTTGTGGTGGCAGGGGGGGTCCCAGCTACTCATTTGAGGTGGCAGGGGGGGGGTCCCACCTCCTCACTTGTGGTGGCAGGGGGGTCCCACCTCCTCACTTGTGGTGGCAGGGGGGTCCCACCTCCTCACTTGTGGTGGCACGGGGGTCCCACCTCCTCACTTGTGGTGGCAGGGGGGGACCCAGCTCCTCACTTGTGGTGGCAGGGGGGGACCCAGCTCCTCACTTGTGGTGGCAGGGGGGTCCCAGCTCCTCACTTGTGGTGGCAGGGGGGTCTCACCTCATCACTTGTGGTGGCAGGGGGGTCCCACCTCCTCACTTGTGGTGGCAGGGGGGGTCCCACCTCCTCACTTGTGGTGGCAGGGGGGGACCCAGCTCCTCACTTGAGGTGGCAGGGGGGGACCCAGCTCCTCACTTGTGGTGGCAGGGGGTCCCACCTCCTCACTTGTGGTGGCAGGGGGGTCCCACCTCCTCACTTGTGGTGGCATGGGGGGACCCAGCTCCTCACTTGTGGTGGCAGGGGGGGACCCAGCTCCTCACTTGTGGTGGCAGGGGGGGACCCAGCTCCTCACTTGTGGTGGCAGGGGGGACCCAGCTCCTCACTTGTGGTGGCAGGGGGGGTCCCAGCTCCTCACTTGTGGTGGCAGGGGGGTCCCAGCTACTCATTTGTGGTGGCAGGGGGGGGTCCCAGCTACTCATTTGTGGTGGCAGGGGGGGGGGTCCCAGCTACTCATTTGTGGTGGCAGGGGGGGGGTCCCAGCTACTCATTTGTGGTGGCAGGGGGGGGGTCCCAGCTCCTCACTTGTGGTGGCAGGGAGGGTCCCACCTCCTCATTTGTGGTGGCAGGGGGGGACCCAGCTCCTCACTTGTGGTGGCAGGGAGGGTCCCACCTCCTCATTTGTGGTGGCAGGGGGGTCCCACCTCCTCACTTGTGGTGGCAGGGGGGGACCCAGCTCCTCATTTGTGGTGGCAGGGGGGTCCCACCTCCTCACTTGTGGTGGCAGGGGGGGACCCAGCTCCTCACTTGTGGTGGCAGGGGGGTCCCAGCTCCTCACTTGTGGCAGGGGGGTCCCAGCTCCTCACTTGTAGCAGGGGGGGTCCCAGCTCCTCACTTGTAGCAGGGGGGTCCCAGCTTCTCACTTGTAGCAGGGGGGTCCCAGCTCCTTACTTGTAGCAGGGGGTCCCAGCTCCTCACTTGTGGCAGGGGGGTCCCAGCTCCGTGGTGGCAACCCGTTCTCACACAAGACAGCACATATATGACTTAATGCTTAAAGTCAATATGTTGAATATGAATTAGTAAATATGTGATATATTCCCAGTTACTTTTTTTACCAAGGCCCAAACTCTTCCTCACGTACCAATTTACGTGTCACAGTACCCGTCCGTCAACATAGATAGCAGAATATTCGTGATTGGTTCAATTATAAGGAAAATTGTAGTTTTCAGGTCCCACATGGGTTGTGAAATTTACCTACTGTTGTCCATGCTCTTATAATATTACAGATCAGCTATATCCTATTGAAGGCTCGTAGTTTTGTTTTGAGAAATATTAGTTGTTCTTAGTAAATTATAATAAGCACTATAAATTATTACATAGAATAACAGTGCTTCACCAATCAATATTATATACCATAGTTTGGCTTTAAAAATCTTTAAAGAATGTTTTGTAGGAACGCTAACAGAAAACGATGTTACATTTGAATGTCTATGGGGTAAACTACTGCAAACAGGACGGTATTGTGTCTACTATACCAACTATAGCTAGGATGGGTATATTGTCACCTACCGCCTGTTAGGTGGGAAAGGGGTCCAATACCACCCACAGGATGGGTATGAGGGTCACATCCACCCACAGGATGAGTATGGGGATCACATCCACCCACAGGAAGGGTATGGGGTCCAATACCACCCACAGGATGAGTATGGCGTCCACTACAACCCACAGGATGGGTATGGGGCTCCAACCACCCATAGAATGGGTATGGGGCTCCAACCACAAATAAAATGGGTATAGGGTCCAATAACACCCACTGGATGTGTATTGCGTCCATTGCCGCGCGTCGAGCTCGAAAACCGCAGCATTCATCTCAGAACCATGCCTATTTCACACAGATTCCTTAATAAACGTAAGAGTTTTATATGTCACAAGAAAGATAGAAATATAAGCTTCATTCTAAATACCTTACCATGGGCATATTTAAATTTAAAGCGAAGATACGTGTACTTTTATAATAGCCGAGCTTTAACCCCGGACAGATTGATCGACCGAGCAACTCTCTCTCAGAACAATGTTTATTTCACGTGAATTCGTTAATAAACATATATGTTTTATATGTCTCAAGAAAGGCAGACATATAAGCTTCACTTTAAACACTTTACCATAGACATATTTAAAGTTCTAATGAAGATACATGTATTTTAAAAATTACGGAGCTCCCACCCCGTACAGACTGAACGACAGAGCAACTCTCTCTCAGATCAATGTTTATTTCACGTAAATTCGTTAATAAACACAAATGTTTTATATGTCTTAAGCAAGATAGAAATAAGAGCTTCATTTTCAATACATTACAATAGACATATTTATAGCTCAAGTGAAGATACATATGTTTTTATAGTAGCGCTCAGTAGCTTGTCGGGCATGGAGTGCAGACGCCTACGCACTTGCCGATATATTGTATAATTATCAAAGATACGCTAATAAAGCCTAAAATCTTATATGCCTCCAGAAAGACCGAGATATGAACATTATTATGATTTCACCAAATGAAATATATCATGTTCGAGAACAAAGATATATCAATTTTAAATTAAGTTTCGACTCTTGCTCGGGCGAGAGAGAGGGAGCGACTCTCGCCCCATCTATTGGAGATTCTGTCCACTAAAGACCCAAAGCTACTCAAACCCTCCTAGCATTATTTAAGTAATGAAGTAATATGGTATATTTACTATAATGTGGGTGCTGAATGCAGAACATGAGAAAACATATATTTACTCCAAACTAATATAATTTCATTATGAAATAAGTAAATAAGTAGCATCAAAGGAAGTCGACGGTCCAAGCGTCAATGTTGTGGAACGACTTATCCAAGATATATCGTTGTTTGGAAAGTGTTTGTTGGCATATCCAGTTGTCGCACTTCTCTGCACAAATTATCACAAATTTAAATTATAATGTTAACAAGTAGAATACGTATTTTTAATAAAATCTAACATAGCTAGCCAGAAAACATTTAACATTTATTAAAAAAATATATGTTTGGAAGTTAAATCGACTTCATAGGACAATAGTGTTGTTATATATACTCGTTATTCGTTGACATGCGTTCGCTACTTAAACTACCATGTACTGTACTTATGTGAAATCTCCCATGTCTCTTCGCTCATCTCACCGAACCCTACAGGCTCTGTGATATATTGCTTAATTAATTGAGATTCACAAATAAAGCTTATAATTGTATATGTTATCAAAAAGGCAGAGCTTATTTTAGTTCATTTATTATGCACCCCATACCCATCCTATGGGCGATAGTGGAGTGTTACAGAGGCGCATAATGGGCTCAGGGACTGAGCCCCACAATTCATATAGCCAAGGAAGTTATAATCTTGATAAGCTAGTTACAAAAGTCAATGCACATTGTCACATCAACAATGGGCTCGAGACCGACCACAAGTACAGTTTATAATTTAAGCAACTGACATATATGGAGGGCTAGTGTCACAATTGATTTGTTTATCCTACACATAACCCCCTCTCCCCCATCCAATGGGCAGCGGTGGATAGGTTACAATCAAGTCGTTTTTTGCGTTTTATTCAGAGATTAGATCTTATTGGGTGAGGAAAGATATTCATATTTTAAAGAAGGCTTCTTGGCTGATGCTCTCCATTGATGGAAAATATACAACCTTTTGAAAATCAATGTTAGTTTGATCTAATATTGTAATTAACGCAGTTACCTGATGTTATT